TTTTTGTTATTTTCTCGCCTGGTCCATTATACTCCTGCTATGAGTGAAACCATCCGGTATTTTTCTTTCTCTTTCTGGCTTATCTCCCTAAGCATGATCTTTTCCAGCTCCATCCAAGTATGCATAAATAAATCTTAAAAAAAAAAAAGCCTAACATAGAAAAAAAAAAAACCCTAACATAATTAAATAGTTCAGTCAAGTACAGTATGTGCATGCACGGACATGAACACAACTGCATGTTAGAAACATATTATAGTGGATAGTCAACCTTAGCTTCCTTTTGAGTTCCATTTCTCACTATGTTACAGGGTACCCCAATGTGAATTGGGTTGCCTGTTTGTGGGTCTTCACTCGTGCGCTTACAATTCAATCGTTTTATGGACACACTCAAAGGTTAAATAATGAATTTATTTATAAGGAGAAAGGTAAAGGAATAACCCAGGGAAAGAGGGAGAGAAACACAGGTTAACTAGGATGTCCTACCAGTTCTGCTGACTTGGACTCCACCATCACGCTGAAATTGAGCGCCAAAAACGATCGGCTGCGAACCACCAGGTCGCCCCCAGAGCTCACATGACCGGTTCTATCCCAACTGGCTGCTCAGCTCCGCCTTCACGTCCAGGCATGCTTCTTCTTGGTACTGATGGGATTTGGAGTTCCAGTATCTGGAGTAGGGGCGGAGTTCATGAAACCTGTACCTGTTAACAATTATTTTCCTTATTTCTCTCTGCCCTCCAGCCACAGTGGCCTTCTGTGTAGTCCCCCAAATCACTATGGTTTCTCATGCCAACAGACCTTTGCATTTAGCACCAATTCCCAATCATACACTAAGATTGGATTATAAATGAGCCCAAAGTCCTCCCTGTCCTGGGGTGAGACTGGGTAGAACTGGTGTGGACAGAGGCTCTCTGTCCTGCTTCCTTTTTCTTCAGTTTCCTCTCCAGATTTTTCTTCCCCTTGCTTAGCGCTACCCTTCTTTTGGTGGGACAGGGAACTTGGAACCTCCCCTTTTCCTGGGGACCACCCTGTTACAAAAGGACCAGGTTAGGAATAAAGGAGCATCTGTGCTCCAGAGTCTGGGGTATGTATGGCAAAGTGGTACATGCAAGTGCTCTTGTTCCCCCAAGCTGGATGCTCTCCCAACTTTCTTTTCAGACTTTTATAGGTTTCATAACACTGCCACAACTGATTAATCACTGCATTATTAGTGGGGCCTGCAGTATGTTACTGAAGAATACAATGGTTACTTGAGACACTGTCAATGGGAGCAATGTAGCTCACTGAAAGCAAAAGGGCAAGACAAAGTTCCGGGGAGACAGCTCTGAAAGAAGCAACTCCCCCTCTGGGATTTAACTTGGGTTTTTAAGCAAGGAGAATGGCTGCACAATCTTGTCCCCTATCTGGTCACCTGTGTGATACCACCATCTGTGTGACCATCTTTTTTGGTTGGTGGTCCCGCTTCCAATCAAGTGATATTTGTGAGTCTGCACCATGGTGATTTTCTGGTATTCGCCTGGATATATTCAGAATATACTACTCCAGGATATTTTAGCGCCTCCAGTGGGGATCCTGATAAAAGTAATGCAGACTATTTCATGCAGGGGCAAGAGGTGACCCACAATTCCCTAACCTGTGGTCTTAACAGAGAGCTTTGTTCTAGTCTGTTGACCACAGGGATGTGGCAACTGTGATTGCAATTGGGTTTTGCCAGTTGGTGAAATTGGCAGTGGACTTTTGCCATCCATCTCTGCCACTTCAGTCACAACTGACCACTGGCAATTGAGCTCAAAGTCATCTCTCTCCTCTACTAGGACATCTGGGAATGGAACCATCCTTTCACATCCTGTTTTCCCTAGCAATCAGCCCTCTCCTCATTGTTTCCCCAAAGCTAGCATCATTAACATAAACCCATTCAGAATAACAATGCATCCATTTAAACTTTTAGGGCTCTGAAGCTTTCTTTGGAAGAGAAACCAAATAGTATGACAAAAGATGCCCCCTTGACTCTTTTTACTCCTGAAATTCCACGGGTTTAGGGGAGTAAAGAGACAAATATTATTCCCTAGACTCTAATGGATCAGGAAATTCCAAGTGATTTGGAAGCTGTGAGCCAGCAAGTGGAGATGAAATCTAAACATATATTTCCTTTAAAAAAAAAAAAAGATATATTGGGGCCCTCCGTGGTAGCACTGTGGGTTAAAGCACAGCACTATGAAGCTATTGCAGCTACTACAGCATGAGTTCAATCCCCAGCCAGAGAGCGGACCCACATGGCATGGCAGACCTCCTGTCCAGTTCTGCTCTCCTCAGCATTGTATTTCAGTATATCTTCTTGTTCTGTCCTCCACTCTCTCTGGTGAATCCTCTCACCCTTCACACACCTCTGGCCTGTACCCTGTTGGGAGTGACCAAAAATTTACTGACAAGGACTGAATTAGGGCAGTAAAGAATTGAGCCTTGCATCCAAGCTTGATAAAGTGGTAGTAAACTGACCTTGAGATCCTGGATGGGACTAGCTGAAGTTGACAGCGAACTGGGCCTCACGTCAAGGACACAGCAACGAGTCACCCCTTTGGAATCTGAGTTTAGAATCTATATAAGAGACCCTTGCCCCTTATTGAGTTGGCAGTAGCTGCGGACCCCACCCTGGGGGCTCCATCTCAGCTGCTGTCCGGGAGCAATAAACTCTGCTTTCTCAGCCTTTCTGCCTCCCGCCTTCCTTTCTTGCAGCAGGTCACAGAAGTTGGGACAAAACATACCCCAGTTCTGTATTTCTGGCTAGCAGATGAATACATAAATAAATCTTTTTTAAAATTTTAAGAAATAAAAATAAAAGATATATTTATTTATGCATACAAGAACTGGGGTACAGGCCAAATACAGAGGGAAGTGAAAGGACTCACCAGAGACAGAGTGGGGAGCAGATCAGGTGGATCTGATGCTGTTTTTTGAGTTCGGGGTCCTTGGTCCACTTTGGGAAAGGTTTCACCAGAGCTCCCATTTCAGTGGCACACAGCGAGATTCTTCATAAGACAGAGACTCAGTTAAATTTAAAGAGGAAGTTTATTAGAAAGAGACAGGAGAGGAAAAGACACTTATATAAATGCAAGTGGGCAGGAAGAGCTGCCCCCCAAAGGACAGGTTTGCAGAGAGAGGCCTGCATGGCTGCAGGCAGCGGCCTTAGGAGAGCGGCCTCCGCTGAGGGAGGTCAGTGCAGAGAGGCCGGGCATGAACAGGTCATGGGCAGGCAGGAGGCTGCTGCCCTGCAGAGGGAGAGACGTGGGAAGAAGCACCTGCATAGGCACAGGAGGGCAGAGGAGCGGCTGCCCCGTGCTGGTGGAGAGACTGTACTGATATAGAGAGCTTCTCTTTGGGAGGGGCTCACTCCCAAAATCACTCCCTTGTTGATTTTGAATAGAATCTGAAAGGACCAGAGCTTCCCTAAAGAGCTTCATCTCCCCGTCCTATCTTTTGGGTCTGAGCTTTAGACACAGCCCCCAGCAGTCTGTTATCTGCTTGGGCCTCCAGGCATAGGCATCTAAGGACCTTGATTTTCTGGCTGTGTCAAGGATCTTCATTTTAACGACTGTGTTAATTGCTATGTTAGCCCCTTCTACCTCTTCCCCCTTGTGTCAATCAATCTAGTGATGCCTCCCCCTGCATTCCCTCCTCCATCACTTGGGTCTGTTGGTTGGTAGTCTTGAGGCTTCAGTAGGGCCAGACAAGGACCGCATGGGTCGTCTTGTCAATGGGCATAATCTCCGAGAGGTAATTTATAGGCATTTATTGTCCTCATGTAAATTAACAGCATCAGCGGACAGGGAAAGGGCAAAGAGACTCCTACGTCCTAGAGAGTCGGCGTTAGGAGGCTTAGAGCGCTACGACCTGAGACAGCATAGCCCAGGGAAATCCCTTTCCTTTGGGTCCCAAGCCACCCTCCGCAGGGGTCCTCTGCGTCACGTGGTCGTAGGGGGCATGCAAAGGGGCGGGGCAAAGGACAAGGCCTGGCCCTTTTGGGGCGGGGCGTGCGGAGCAGACTCGTGGGCTTTCGCATTCGCGCGGTTTGCCAGTCCTGGTCGCTCCTCCTCCGGTGGCGGCGAGTGGAGTGGAGAAGCGTGATGCCTCAGAGCAAGAGGGGTGTGCCGGACGCGTGCTCCAGCGCGCCAACCGCCACCCGCTGTCGCCAGGGCAAGGATCGAAGTAGAGCTGAAGAGAAGAGAGAGTATGACATGCGCGGGTCGCGCGCGGACACCGGGCCGTGGAGGCCATGGCGGCCGTGGTGCGGGCTGCGGAGACGTCCTATGGGCGAGCGGCCGCGGCGCCCGCGGGGTGCATCTGCAGCCGAGGCCACTGATGGCGGAGACACTTACCAGCTGGAGCATCGCAGGCGCGACCCAAGCTCCGACTGCAGTAACCGCCCTGAGCCGCGGAGAGGGAGTCGCCGGCCCCGCCGCTCCCGCTCGCGAGCAGGGTACCGCGGACGCCGGGCTTCGTCAGCTCGGCCGCGGGCTTGCCGGGTCGTCAGATCCTTGTCCCCGCCATGGGCTGCTTTCGATTTTTGGCCCCCGCCATCGCGGAGGAGATTATACCCCCCGCCGCCTGGACGGGCGGGTTTCCGCGGCCGCAGGCGTGGTGTGTCCCGCGGCGACTTCGCCCGGTATCTCTGCGGAGATATTCCTGGAGACCTTGGCAGCGAGGTAATCCACCCTCGCCCCCGGCTGCCCCCTTCCTCCAGCCCCCTCGCCCCGGGTTCCCGCCTCCGGAGGCGCCCGCGGCCGGGCGCCCCCAGGCCTTCAGGCCAAGGCCCCCAGGAGCGGACCCGCCGCCCCTCGGCCCCCAGACGTCGCCTGGGACTGGAGCCGCCCGCCCCCTCGGGAGCCTTCCCGGCGAGTAACGGACTCGGAACCGCCCGGCGGCCTGGGCGGGCTGTGCGGCTCCCGGGAGTGGGCTGTGTCGGTTGAGGGACGCGTGTGGGAAAGTTTGCGGGGCCATTTCATCCAAACTGTGCGTGGGCCCGTACTTTCTCGGGGTGACGTTTCCTCAGAGTCGAGGTCTCCCTCCCCCTGGCTTGGGCCGGGCCCCCCCTGCGTCTCAGCCGCTTTGTGGACCGGGGCTGCGCCGGCCGTTCCGGTTCGGGGTAGGTGTCTGGACTGCGCCCTGGCCGCGTCCCCGAAGCGCTGGTCACGCCGGGTCATGGTAACGGCGACTCTGGTGGAGGCACGGCGGCAGTCAGCGCTCCGTTCCCAGCACATTCTGGGTGCACACTCAGCCCCAGGTAACGCTTTCACGGAACAGCTGAGAGGTCCAAGTCACAGAGCTTGGAAGGGGTGCAGCCGTGCTTCCACTAGGGTCTGCCAGGCGCCCCACAAGAGGCGATGAGATTGATGTCTGCTTCCCTGCTGGAGGGACAGAGCAGGAGGTTCAGACGTTGACTTTAGACCTGATACCTCGCTTAATGACGAGTCTGATAGCGGTTCGGGGCAGGGTGTGGCGTTTGAAATGTGTC